GTTTAAAATTTTATTTATTGATGGGCAAATCAATTAAATGTTTTTAATTCTTTACATATAAAAAATTTGAAAATGTTGTTTAAGAAATTTAAAAAATGGCAAAATCATAAACAACAATATAAGACACCTTATTCTATTAAAAAAAATTCATAATTATATTATCAATTCACATATATCAAAAGAAATAATAACAACAATATAAAAAATACACAAACATCCACCAAAAAAAAAAAAAAAATTCAAATCAACTCTCAAACAAAGATAGTTATATATTATCAATTTAGTTGGAAAAAAAATACATTGGAAAAAAGTCATATAGAGAAAAAAAAAATAATCACACAAAATATTAAATTTACAAAAAAAAAAAAATACACAAAAAAACAATTGGAATGGTAGAAATAATTTTTAAAATTAAAATTTTTTGATATTTATTTTCATTAAATTAGTTTTTATTTTTTTCAAAAGTCAAACATGGAAACAATTTTGATATCATTATTAAACAAATTTATTAAATAAAAAAAAAACTAAAAAACATTCATATATTAAACATATCGATTACACATTAATACGCCTAATAACAAGCCACCATTACATGATAACCATTAAAAAAATATCAACAAAAATAACTACTCATTACACTGATCACATCCCAAACACATACTAAAAATTAATTTGGTTAAAAAAATAAACTCTAGAAGATTATTATTTTTATATATTTTATCTTTGTGGGTAAAAATATTTTTTAAAAATTCAAAAATATTCTTTTGACATTTATTTTTGTCAAAGTAGTTTATATTTATTAAATTCATGATTTTGCCTTTGAAATAGAGTATTTTTATTTACAAAATGACGGTGTATTCAATTCTCCTTATTGGAGCGAAATTCAAATTTAAGATCAATATATTAGAGTTGGAATATTAGAGATTAAAATAACACAAATTCTAAATTACAAGAACCATTAATGTAATTCATCATGTTTATATAAATTTTATGGAGAGAAATTATTTAATATTACCAGAGTACCACATAACTATGCTTCCTTATCAATTACTATTCATCATACACTTTCATGTTCTCACTCATTTATATAAAATAATTAATACTCATATTTTTGCTAATTATATTATCATAAAATAGCACGTGAAATAACCCATTAATGTAATATTTGAACTTATTTTATTTTATTTTATTTCCTTTCCTTCCAATGCCACATGTATAAATCAGCACTATGGAGCTCTCAATCACCCACTAAATAATAACCCAACTTTGCGTAAGAATAGAAATTTTCAAACGTTATATATATATGTAAAATGTATTTCCATAGTAGTAGCATAGCAACTCAAGCACACGAACTAGAACTAGTACGGCAGTTGCGCTCCCAAATCTCGCTCATCAGCCTTCTTTATTTCTCGCCGCCGTCATGTAACGGTCATATATCGCCTCATTTTTCTCTCTTCTAGACCCTCCTTTCTAGTTTCTTTCTCTCTCTCTTCTCTCTCTCTCTCTCTCTGTATATATATATATTCTCTCACTTCATTCCCTTCAGTACACTCACGCCTCCCTTGTTCTCTCTAAATTAAGAATTAGCTTGAATAGTCACAAGTTTTGGGCTGTAATTTAGGGTTGATAGTTATGACTGTGACAAGTGTGTGCTATATGGTGGCTGCTGTGTCTGCTACGCCGAACCCTAATAAGGTCTCATCACAAGGTGGGGTTCACCACCAGAACAACCCCAAAAGGCCTCCATTGTTCCTTCTGAGGCTGACAATGGCGTCGTTGGCCCTCCCTCGGAGACCCCAAATCCAGAGAAGTCACTTCTCGATACTTGTCTTTCTAGTTGTACCACTTCATCATCTTCGATTCATCATCGTCGTCGTCGTCGTCTTCGAATTCGTCTTTCCTCCAGGCGCTATCCTTCGCCTCTTGTTTCGAGAACTGTGCCGATGACGCCGATTCCTGCTCCTTCACGTCGCAATCTGCGGGCGGAGGCGGCCGGGAAATGCCGGGAGGATGTCGGCCGGCTGCGAAGTTGTTGATGGCTTCGAAGAGGAGTTTGTCAGTTTCGTTTCAAGGAGATTCGTATTCGCGCAAGGCGAAGCCAGCGCCGGCGACGAATAATTGACTGTTCGAGCAGGAAAGCGACGGCCGGAGAGGGAAAATTCGAAGCCAATTTATTAAAGATCATCAGCATCGCTGGCTGGAGATCGCGGGAATTGAATTGTTCATGACGATAAGGAGTTTGGATTGTAGTCCCGCTGATAAAGAAAAAAATGGGGGCATTGCTACAACAATCCATCATCATGATCGATGACAGCAGTAAAGCCTCAGTTGCTAGCCCCAGATTGAAAGCCAATTCCGACCTTGATAAAGCTGCTCAGATTGTAATTGATGCAATTTCAGAGCTGGATCTCTGCTGCCACTTCTGATCTGGTTGCTTCGGACGACACTGAAAGTGTTTCCTCTGGAAGCACTGGAGCGGGGCGGAGCTGGAGTTGTACAAGAATGTTGTGTGAGAGCTGCTGCTCCCGTGCGTGGAAGAGGGGGCCACCGCGGCATCGTGGTGCCCGCCAGGTTTTGGCAAGAGACTACTAACCGGCTGCAGCGCCGATTGCCAGAGCAAGTTTCCCAATTTCAAAGAATAATAATGGTGGTTTGAAAACGGTAACTCCCAAAAACTCAATGCATTGAAGAAATCCTATATGGATAGTCCAATTTCAACGCCTAGAGGAGTTTCAGGTAGCAGGGGTTTATCTTTCTCCTTCTTC